ATGATGGATGGATGGATGGATGGAAGGATGATGGATGGATGGATGGATGGATGGATGGAAGGATGGATGATGGATGGATGGATGGATGATGGATGGATGGATGGATGGATGGAAGGATGATGGATGGATGGATGGATGGATGGATGGATGGATGGATGGATGGATGGATGGATGGATGGATACTCTGCCTTTTCAACCTACTGTATTTTTTATTTTAAACATTATTTGATGGCCTTTGTGGCAGGGATGGAGATCCATTTTTTATGTCACACACAGAGTATACATCTAGATAGATAGATGATGGATAGATGTTGCAGTATCTATAACAACCCAAACACACAGGATTTCAGAATTAGACATCCCCAGTTATTAATTTCACCAGATCTGAACGCCCTGTTAAAAAACTTCCCATGGCGTTCCCCCCTGATGTCATTTAGGTTGAGTTGCAATAAATGCTAAACTCTCTGCAGGTTCTTGTCTTTGTCGTCCGCTCTGTTCAGCTGGCTTTGGAAACACACGGCGAGAAGGTGGGGGCTGGGTGGGGAGGGTTACGGGGGCGAGAAACGCAAAAGTGACACAATAGTTACTTTCACTAGTAACTAGTTACTTTTATTGTGGAGTAACTCAGTTAGTAACTCAGTTACTTTGTGGGAGAAGTAACTAGTAACTATAACTAATTACTTTTTCAAAGTAACGTGCCCAACACTGGTGATTAGGCACCAAAAATCTAGAATTAGTGTCATGAATAACATTACAAAATAATATCAAATATACATTTCCACATTTTTCATTTACAAAACAACTAATACAATAAAAAAAAACACAAAATAACACAAATTACTCAAGGTCAATAATTTTAGTTATACAAAGATTAAAGTACTACCATCAGTATTATGTACTGTTTATATTTTTGACCTCGATATGAGACAGCTGATTAAATAGATAGAAAGCAATAATGATAAAAATAAAGCTGGTGTCAAAGGAGCATCAACTAAATGGTTTCGTCATCATCATTAACGCTCCTTTTTTTCATGACGACAACAAAAACTGACGAGCTAAACATGGATCTTAATATGACTAGTCATCAGAAGTGTCAAGTAAATAGTGCAAATACTTTGTTACTCTACTTTTAGGTATCTATACTTTATTCCATTACTTATTTTTCTCCCTACTTCTCACTTCTACATATTACAATTTTACACCAGTATCTGTATAAAAATCCAAGAGTAACGAGTATCTGTACGTTACTCGTTACTCTTGGCTTTGGTTTAATGTTTATAAATCTTTATTTCCCGTCATGTGCTCCATCCAATGCAGATCATTGGCTCCACCCACATCTAGTGAAAACTAGTGTGATTGGATGAGTCATAGAACGCAAACACTCATTGGTTAGCTAAAGGAAACCATCAGAAGCTAGCAGGTGTTCTTCAAACTGCTAGCGTGAATTGTCTATGCCATGCTACAATGTGGGATTCAGAAAAAGATGTTGAAATGTCTGAAAGGTCGGACACAGGCGAGAGCGTATCGGGAGACGGAGACCAACCAGACCTCCCTCATCCTCGGCCCTAACTCTAAGAATTTTTCAAAATGTTCGTAAAACAGCTTTCAATTCATATAGTGGCATCTGGCTGTTTTTTTTTAAGGTGACTTTATACTTTTATACTTTCAGTAGTTTTTGGAGCACATAGTTTTTCACTTTAACTTGAGTAAAGAGGTCAAGTTGATACTTCAACTTTTACCAGTGTTGTGCCATATGCCGCAATCATACTTTTTGGACATTGGGAACCAGTGTCCATATTTCATCTTGACATGATGATGTGGAATCAGCTGTGGAATCTCTGCAACAACCCCCGTTTCAGCCAAGGCCTCCACAGGTAAGTCACAGAGGTGTGACCAACCACGCCCCCCCCTCTGTGTGAGGACAGTAGAAAACCACATTCTCCCTCTTTTCCCTCCTGATCTTCGCCTCCTCTCCTGGAGATCAGGGGAACCAGATCCCCAGAATCCTCAAGGATAGGTCAGAACCTTTCAGAACCAAACTGTTGCAAAACAGAACTTTTGCAACACATTTTCTCATGAGTTTCAGAACTTATAGAGCCAAACTGGATGAGAACCATGTCCTGGGTGTGAGCCTTAGGGGACTCCTGCTGTGAGACTGAGACAAAGGCCCTGTCCACACGAAGTCAAACCCTGGCCTAAACGCACTAATTTTTCACCAAACCAGCCTCTCATCCATACGAAGCCGGCGTTTCGGGGGTCTGTAAACGATCTTTTTTTTATTCAGCCTTCAGAGTGGGAAGATTTTGAAACAGCGTTTTCGCGTTTCTATCTTTAAGGTCTGACCGCTTTTTTTCTTACACGCATGCGTCATAGCGTCGCCTCTAAACACGCATGCGCGACACAGTATCACAACAACAATGGCGCCGTACTGTGTTGAATGGTTGCTGCTCATGCTACTCACCCTGCTGTCGGGCTTACAACAGAATCTTCTTCTTCTGGAATATCTCCAGGAAGAACAGAGCAATATCGACCACATAGTTCAGCACCTGAATTTGACTGAACCACCAAAATGGACCCGCAGGGCAACCATGTATAAATATTAGTGCGCATGCCCAACATTTCGTCGCCTATTTTTGCTTTGGCACCACAGCGCCACTTACAGGCCTGGCATACATTTTGCAGCGTTTTCATGCATTCGTGTGGACGATCACATTTATTTTACGTCTCCGTCTTTACGACAAACGTTCTGGAAAATATTAGCGTTTCGTGTTCGTTTTGACTTCGTCTGGACAGGGCCAAAGAACCACTGGTTGCTGCCCTGACTGCTGAGCTGCAGCTGGATGAAACTCAAGCTTTCCAACTGGACATGGAAAAAGGTTTGCAGGTCTGGCATGATTAGGGACAGAACAAACAACATGTGTTTACTGATGAGTAGAGTCAAGCTAACAGAACAGACTGCATGCTACGCTATGCTACAGGAATATGTGTTGAGCTGTTGGTGAAGTTAGGAGAAGCTTTATTTCACTAAGGGTTTAAACATGGATATAACATCAGTGTTCATGTGTTCCTCAGATGCTCATTACATTTCCATTTCCAGGTATGACCAAGTGTCATTTAGTAGAATCCTGATGTTTATTCGCTGCTAGCTATTTCATAGAGGATAAAGAATCATTTAGCTAAAGGTTATTGGTTCTTGATTAAGCAAATCATTCAATAAAACATTATTTGGCCAAATAATGTTTTATTCACCTCATGGATTTTATTTCTTCCACCTCACAAGAGGTGATGCTAAACATTCTTTAATTAGATAAAGGAATCCCTAAATTATATCTAAATAAATCATTTCATCACATTCTGTTTATTTTTGGATAAAGAGCCAGATGAAAAGGTACATAGATCTTTGAATATTTATCTCTTATTGTTCTCTTTCTATCTCTTTAATGAGCTCTGATTAATATTGCTGCAGTAAAATATTTTTTTTATGAACTATGGAAAAGCAGTTCATAAATACCCAAATTAACTACAAGTTTCAAAACCTGCTGAGAAAAAATAGGATTTCCTGAAAGCGCGTTAACGAGTCTACAGAAACCGCGGCAGACCAAACCAGATGAAAGTGCGCATTCAGCTCGGCAAAGAACTCATGCTCTTCCTCAACACTGAAGTCCTCAGACATTTTTCTTTCGTTGTTTCTTTCTTTGCACAGGTAAACAGCACATTTCTTCTTCTACGCTTGCATTATCGGCAGAGCAGATGCTGAATGCGCACTTTCATCTGGTTTGGTCTGCCGCGGTTTCCGTAGGCTCGTGAACTCGCTTTTAGGAAATCCTATACACTACTGTTTATGCTCTAAAAACATTCTAAATGACTTCGTTTCGAGTAAATTCTGGACGCTACCCACTCAGGACACTTGGAATACATTGGACGAGCAGTATGGAGGAATATTGACACGTTTTTTGTGGAGTTTTATGGACCTTTCTGCCTCGGGCGCCATAGACCTCCATTATTTGAATGTTAGCTTTTGTTCAGCATGGGGGTGAGTAGAAAATGAGTAGAAAATGAAGGCTAATCATGTTTTGGGTGTACTATTCCTTTAAGTAATAGTTTTCTATAAGCACACCCCTCATTAAACCCACCTAAACATGGAGGAGAGGGTTAAATTCAGTTAATTTATTTAGCACCAAGTCACAACACGTCATCTCAATGCACTTTAAAAAGACAATTCAACCAGATCATCCAGTCAGATTGATTCAAAGTTTTCTATCTAAGGAAAACCAGCTGATTGCATCCACTAATTGACTCTTCAGCAATCCCTCACACTAAGCATGCTTGTAGCGACAGTGGAGAGGAAAAACTCCCTTTGAACAGGAAGAAACCTCCAGCAGAACCAGGCTCAGTGTGAGCGGCCATCTGCTGAGGCCCACTGGGATTCAAGGAGACCACATACATTCCAGAATCATTCTCAGCAGTCCTTCTACATTAAGTGTACTAAGCGATTATAGCACTATTCAAAAATATACAGTTGTAGCCATTCAAAATTTCCCCACTGTCCTTCATGGGTCATTGGGTAGTCCCTGGCTAGTCCCCTACAATTCCTTTTTAAACATCATTCTTTGTACTAATTTTTTTTTTTCTGTCATGATTTGTGGACATTAAGATCTAAAGAGAAGCGCCATCTCCTGGTCAGACTCTGTAATTCAGTGAAAGGGTGGAGTCAGAGTAAAATAATATACACGCCCAGGAGAAGGCCAGTGGCTGGAAGTTGGAGGGGATTTTGCTTGGAGCTGCAGGGAAGTGGGCTGCCATTTAGCTCGCGTTAATGGTTATTACTAATGCAAGAGCAAGCCTTGCATTTTATATGTAAACTAAAATTCTACGCTGTAAAATGTGTCACTAGTTTCAGTTTAATTTTGGATGTTGATATGTCATTTACTTCTTCAGGATTCAACCAATCAGAGTGTAGAACTGAGGCCTATTTTACCTGTAGAAATGGGAATTGCATTCCTATCAGTCTTGTGTGTGATGACAAAGGCATTGACAACTGTGGAGATGGAAGTGACCTAGAGGAAAACCTGAGGACAGGCTGCAAAGGTACGTTTTTTTTTTTTCATTTTAGATTTGTTACAATACATAGAACAAACCTGTGCCACCGTACACATACATACATTAAAGAGGAAAAAATAAATAAATAAAATATATATAAAAAATAATGATAATAGTAATAATATACCCCACATTAAAACAAGGAGTCAATCCTCTCATGTCCACGTCACCCCTCAGCTAACAAGAGAGAAGAAACAGAAGCAAGCAAACATAAATAGTGCTTTAAAACTGCTAAATATGGAAGCTATGTCCCCCTGAAGGCGGCTGCGCCTCAGACCTTCCCCACCGGTTCTTTACCTGGGAGCAAGTTATTTACTACTCTTAACTCAAACTGGGTAAAACCATATAAAAAAGGACTATAAAACAGGAGTAAAAAAGTAACAGAGTTTATTCCAGATCAAGTCGTTACAGGCAGACATGGGCAATGTGGAGTCAACAAGTCATCTCCATGTCATGTATTTAATCTACCCAGCCAATTAACCAGGTGAGTCCAATCTGCACAGGTTAATTCACGGTGAAAATTGGACTCACCTGCTTCAGTGGCTGGGTAGAACAAATACATGACATGGAGATGACTTGTTGACTCCACATTGACCATGTCTGGTTACAGGACAGAGAAATTGCTTAGGGTTGGCACAGCTGTGGGCTCAAAAAACGTCCGCGAGCGTCCGGCAAATATTGAGCCCCGAACAAAGTCATCTCCTCCTTCTTATACCTCATGAGTCTATGTGTTGCATCAGGTGGAAGCTCAGCTGTCAGTATTAGAAACTGACACGCCATCCATGCCTTGAACTTCATGCATCTTGCCTCTTTATCCCAGGACCTCCGTACACACAGTGACATCCACCATGTGAAGGAAGGCCTTCTACTCTGTCTAATCTGGCTAACAGAATAAAAATGCACATGATGTATAAAGAATAAACCTAACAAAAAATAATAAAAACCTAGAATCCTAGGGACCAAGCAGAAAAGACTTAAGGGGACCCCAAAGTGCCAAAGATGTGTCTGATTTGTGATTGAGATCATGGGTCAGCTTTTCCAAAGGAAGGAAAACAGATATCTGTGTGAGCCTCATATTTACTCTGGGAGCAGACTGAGAGGTCCATTGTAACAAAATACATTTCTTGGCAAGAAATTGAACAATTGTAAAGAAGGATGTCGAATGTGCACCCATATGATTAGGGGAAACATTTAGAAGATAAAACACAGGAGACAGAAAGAAGCGAACCCCCAAAACCTTTTCAATAACCAAATGAACGTGCCTCCAAAAGGTCCCTAATAAATCACATGACCAGAACAGATGGGAAAAAGTACCTCTATGTCTAAAACATTTGCAACACAGATTGGAACGGTCGGGGAACATTCTCTGAAGACGAACAGGGGTATAAGAAGACCTATAGAAAAGTTTGAAATTCTGCTCTTGTATAGAAATAGAAGTGCATTGAGGAAAGGTTCCATTGCAGATCTTAAGCCAATCTGAAGGACTGAATTGCATCTGCAGATCACGCTCCCACAACGGCTTTACAAAGTCAAAGCTTGATGGTACAGAGCTGAGTAAGAGTGCATAGAATTAAGAAATCAGACCCTTTGGAGAGTTGGTTGAAACCAAAACATTATCTAAGTCCGTCAGTTTCCTGCAGAATGCGTCAGACCGAAATAATGAATCCATAAAATGCCGAATTTGAAGATATTTATAAAAATCTTTCTGAGGAATATTGCTCTTGCCCCTGATTTTAATAAATGATTTAATAGCATCGGACACCAACAGATCAGAGAAACCATTCAGACCAGAATGAGAACAGTTCAGTAGACCAGTACTTCTAATAGAGGTTGGTAGGTCCGGATTTAAGGCCAGGGGGGATCTAGTTGATATAGAGGGGGGAATATTCAAGTATTTCTTTATGTCTTGCCAAGCTAACAAAGTAGTATAAACTACTATGTTTTCCTTCAATGAATGTAATTGATCAATGTTATTGATAAAATGGAGAGAACTTACCCTTCTAGGACAACATGATGAAGATTTGAGGCCCCGCCATGAGCAGGTGTCTCTACTAGAAAAACCAGTCAGACATCATTTTAAGCTGGCGGACCAGTAGTAGAGCTGCAAATTGGGTAAAGATAAACCTCCCAACTGCTTCGGTTTAGTAAGAGTGGAGAACCTAATTCGTCGAGGTTTGTTGTTCCAAATAAAGCGAGAAATATAAGAATTAAGGGATTTAAAGAATTTAAGGGATAAGTAGCAAGGGAGGTTTTGAAACAGGTAGTTTAAGCGAGGGAGAATATTCATTTTTACTGTATTAATCCTACCGAGAAGTGATACAGGTAAAGTAGACCATTTCAATAGATGTTCTGAACTAACAGGGAATAGTTTGATGAGAATAAATCATTCAGATCAGGGGTAATAAAGATGCCCAAGTACTTGAAACCTCTTTTAGATTTTTGAAAAATAGGTTGTAGCACCATATCTTGGGGGATATTAAAAGGAGAAGTGACTGAATATCCTAAATTAATCTTATAACCTGAAAGAGCACCAAATTTATCTATGGAACTAAGAACAGCCGGGACTGATAATCCGCAAATAGAGAGATGACATGGTGATCTTCACCTATCCTAATTCCAGAAATGTTTGGGTTAGATAATAGCCACAGCTAAGGGTTCAATGAACAATGTAAACAACAAAGGTGACAAGGGGCACCCCTGTCTACAACCCCTCTGAACAGAAAAACTGTCTGACGGTATTTACCATTGCTACTGGATTGAAATAAAAGGCTTTAATGATGCTAATAAAATTAGGGCCTTTGCCAAATTTCTTTAAAACTAGAAATAAAAAAGGGCCATTCTACCCGATCAAAGGCTTTTTCTGAATCGAGAAAGATAATCTTTATGTTGATTAAAATATTGAATGACATTCAGAGCATGATGCACGTTGTCTGTTCCATATCTAGAGCTCACAAAACCTGTCCGGTGGGGGTTTATTATCTTCGGAAGAATCTTTTCTAGTCTCTGCGCCAACAACTTCGCCACAATTTTGTAATCAGCATTAAGGAGACTGATAGGTCTATAGGATGAGCAATCTAGGGATTTTTTATCTTTATTCAACAATAAGCTGAAAAGTTTGTTTTTCTAACTATTGTGCCATTTCACCATTTCACCATTTCCTTCAACACTGTCTTTTATCTCCAGGTCAGCTTATGCCCAGTGAACTTCCTCCTGAAGTTTCTTCACCTCCTCTTTCCTTCATTATTCGGCCAACCCAACATGGTGGGACATGTATGAACTGCAGTGGAACAGGCAGCAGTCCGAGGCAGGAGTCTGTAAGTGGTGAGTGATTAGGCCTCTACTTAAACAAGGCAGGAGGCTTGACCAATTCGCGTTACACTACCTTCAGTCGTTCACACACTGACACTGTAGCCACAGCTGCCCTGGTGCTCTCTGACACAAGTGTTCACAGGTCGTACACGCTGACCATGAACACCAGGCAATGCAGGTGAAGATAAAACCGGAACTGGGGCTTTTTGTAGATTGCTATTTTCAATATCTTTTTGCGAAGTAAAGGGTTCAGGATCTTTAAAAAGTCTTAAAAGGCATTGAAATTTTCAATATGAAACTAAGGCTTTAATTGGTATTAAATTGTTTTAAATCAGTCTTTTACAGGTCTTAAAGGAATAGTACACCCAAAACATGATTAGCCTTCATTTTCTACTCACCCCCATGCTGAACAACACTCTGGAGTACTTTTTTGATATCTCAAATGCATCTGGAGATCTGGGAGGCTTCTTGCTGTCTGCTGACATTCAAATAATGGAGGTCTATGGCGCCCGAGGCAGAAAGGTCCATAAAAGTCCACAAAAAACGTGTCAATATTCCTCCATACTGCTCGTCCAATGTATTCCAAGTGTCCTGAGTGGGTAGCGTCCATAATTTACTCAAAACTAAGTCATTTAGAATGTTTTTAGAGCATAAACAGTAGTGTATAGGATTTCCTTAAAGCGCGTTCAGGAGTCTACGGAAACCGCGGCAGACCAAACCAGACGAAAGTGCGCATTCAGCTCGGCAAAGAACTCATGCTCTTCCTCAACACTGAAGTCCTCAGACATTTTTCTTTCGTTGTTTCTTTCTTTGCACAGGTAAACAGCACATTTCTTCTTCTACGCTTGCATTATCGGCAGAGCAGACGCTGAATGCGCACTTTCATCTGGTTTGGTCTGCCGCGGTTTCCGTAGACTCGTGAACGCGCTTTTAGGAAATCCTATACACTACTGTTTATGCTCTAAAAACATTCTAAATGACTTCGTTTCGAGTAAATTATGGACGCTACCCACTCAGGACACTTGGAATACATTGGACGAGCAGTATGGAGGAATATTGACACGTTTTTGTGGACTTTTATGGACCTTTCTGTCTCGGGCGCCATAGACCTCCATTATTTGAATGTCAGCAGACAGCAAGAAGCCTCCCAGATCTCCAGATGCATTTGAGATATCAAAAAAGTACTCCAGAGTGTTGTTCAGCATGGGGGTGAGTAGAAAATGAAGGCTAATCATGTTTTGGGTGTACTATTCCTTTAAGATCATTACCACATTATAAATTGGATTTTATTCTTATAATACGCATCAAATATTAAAATAATTGAAAATATTTTTTTTACATTTACTGAATGGCTCGGTGGAACCATTATTGGTTTTGTCCCGATAGCAGAACCAATAAAAACAACTTGGCGTGATGCACTGCTAAGTTTTTTATCTGGACAACGTGGAGAAGTGTAAATTCCAGGAAATTGCTAATCCAGCCAAGAGTTTCCTGCATGGGTAAAACCAGAACCAGGGAATTTAGATGAGGCATGATGGGAATCAGGGCAGTGGAGTCACACATGCGACGCTCCAAAATCATAGCAGCAGGTATTTCTCTTCAGGTATTCCACCCTTGTCTCTGGACAGCATCTCCCACATCAACAACAGCCCCAGTAGCACCATCTCTGGATAATAGCCCTATTCAAACTACCCTCTAGAAACCGATCTGTGCCGAGTTCAGATCGAGCTTGGATCAGTTATACGTGCCAAGCTCGGTTCCTTACGACCCTTTACACACCATGCTAGCCACGATTCCTCGTCTTCTAGTGATGATCTACAGTACTACTGCTCTCTAAAGGGAAACAAGCTAGCCAACATGGCAGCACCGTAACATTCGGGAAGTTTGATTAAAATTGTGATATTTCGTGATTGCGGAGAGTCAGGCGAACAAGGCAGCCTTTGGTGAATTTACTTGACTGTGGGCTTTTGGGAAATGGATACGACAAATGATAGTAGTATAATCAGGGCTTACAGACGCTGGAAACAACGACAGATGTTGTTGGTGGTTCCTCAAACTGCTAAGCAGAATCATCACTGGAAACCCTGTGGCACGGTAGGGAAGATAGTATTTTTATGAATCTCAAAAATTTCCTAATTAAGGAGGCTGACTTTAAGGAGATGACACTGTCTGGCTCAAGCGCTTTTTGCCTTCTTCCAGTCTGAGGCGCTGCAGCCTCCACACCACACAGTGAGACAGCTGGTCAGAACGCTCTCTATGGTGCTTCTGGAGAAGGTGGGGAGGATGGGGGGGGGCAGGTGGGCTCTCCTAATCCTCCGCCGGAAGTACAAGCACTTCTGTGCCCTTTGGACCAGTGAGGTGGTGTTTACAGCCCAGGTATCAGCAAATCCACTTTTTTTTTTTTTTTTAGGGCACTAGTGGCTCAACAAACCCGGGTCGGCCGTGTTGAGGACTAAGGCCTCCATCATGGGTTGTGCGCACTAACTACTGCTCCACCTGCTCACCTGCAAATCCACTTTGTTATCCAGTGACCGGACATTGGCCAGACAGAGTGTGAATCAGTGGCTTCATGGCACACTCCACCATAACGGTTTCTCTTGACCGTTTGTTCTCCCACTCATCCATTCATCCATCTTCTTCCACTTATCCAGGGTCGGGTCGCGGGGTTGGCAGCTTCAGCCGGGAGGCCAAGAAATCCCTCTCCCCAGCCACTTGGGTCAGCTCCTCGAAGGAAATCCCAAGCTGCTCCTAGGCCAGCCGAGAAACATAGTCCCTCCAGTGTGTCCTGGGTCTCCCCCTGGGCCTCCTCCCAGTGGGACATGCCTGGGACACCTCACCAGGGAGACGTCCAGGAGGCATCCTAACCAGATCCCAGAGCCACCTCAAATGGCTCCTCTCGATGTGGAGGAGCAGCGGCTCTTCTCTGAGTCCTCCCCGGATGACTGAGCTCCTCACCCTATTTCTAAGGGAGAGCCCAGACACACTATGGAGAAAACTCATTTCAGCCGCTTGTATCCAGGATTTCGTTCTTTCGGTCATGACCGAAAGCTTATGACCATAGGAACGTAGATCGACCAGTAAAGCGCACACTTCACAGCAGATGCCACACCAATCCACCTATTGATCTCTTGCTCAACATTCGTGAACAAGACCTCAAGATACTTAAACTCCTCCACTAGCAGCAGTACATCCTCCCCAACCCAGAGAAGGCACTCTACCCTTTTTATTTCAGCCATGAGTTTAGCACTCAACTAAATCAGCCTCAAAGAATTTAGAAAAGTGTTTAATCCTGGGATCTATAGAAGATGCTGCCCCTGTGTGAATCACCATGGCATCAATTATCAGATGTTGTGATGAAGAAGAGACGAAATGATGAAGAGTTTCCAGTGATGCTTAGGGCAGCCGTTGACTTTCTGTAAGGCTCGTTGTTCTTCTCTATGCTTCAAGCTTCGTCATGACTTTTGGCTGCAAGTTTTTCCTGCTAATGCAAAAAGAGAATATTACAGACAGATTGTTTTCCAGCAATACAGTGGATGGGCTGCCCCTGCCCTTGTAAGAATTAGACCTTCCATCTGTTCAAGCCATTTCTGACTTCATTCATAAATCCAAACCTTCCACATGTCAGCTCGATCCTCTCCCGTCCACTCTGGTTAAATCCTGCTGCTCTTCATTTGCTCCTCTCATCACCAAAATCATCCACTCTTCCTTAAGCTCTGGTTCAGTCCCCTCTGCACTCAAAACCGCTACAGTCACCCCAATTCTGAAAAAACCTGGCCTGGACCCCACCGACTTCAATAACTTACGTCCCATATCCAATCTACCCTTCATATCCAAAATTCTGGAAAAATCTGTTGCCTCCCAACTCCACAACCACCTGATGTCCAATAATATTTACGAACAGTTTCAATCTGGCTTCCGTCCTCTGCACAGTACTGAAACAGCACTCATCAAGATCTCTGACGACCTCTTTATGGCTTCTGACTCTGGACTACTTTCCATCCTCATTCTCCTGGACCTCACAGCGGCCTTCGACACCATCTCCCATGCCACTCTCCTCAGTCGACTATCATCCATCGGTATCAGCCGCACCCCTCTAACCTGGTTCACTTCATACCGCTCAGATAGGATACAGTTCATACAACTCAAATCTCACAAGTCCATCTACTTCCCTGTTTCTGCTGGTGTGCCCCAAGGTTCTGTCCTGGGGCCCCTCCTGTTTATTATCTACATCCTCCCTCTTGGCTACATCCTCCGTAAGCATCATATCAAATTCCACTGCTACGCGGACGACACCCAGCTCTACCTTTCTACTCAACCATCTGCCTCACTCCCACCAATCTCCCTCACCCTCTGTCTCCAAGAAATCCATTCTTGGTTCTCATCCAACTTCCTCAAATGAATAGCTCTAAAACCGAAGTCCTCCTAGTAGGCACACCTCACACTCTCTCCAAAGCTAATAACTTCTCGATTACCATCAATGATTCAACTGTCCTCCCCTCCCCTCAGGTTAAGAGTCTGGGTGTCGTCCTCGACAGCACCCTCTCCTTCCAGTCCCACATTAACAACATCACCCGGTCTGCCTACTTCCATCTGCGTAACATCTCTCGTCTCCGTCCCTCCCTCACTCCCCAAACTACCGCCATTCTTGTTCACAGTCTCATCACTTCACGCATCGATTACTGTAACTCACTTCTTTTTGGCCTTCCAAACAAGTCCCTCCAGAAACTACAGCTCCTCCAAAACTCTGCAGCACGCCTGATCACTCGGACCCCCATTTCTCATCATATCACTCCCATCCTGCAACAACTCCACTGGCTCCCCATCAAACAAAGAATCATCTTCAAACTCCTCCTAACTACATTCAAGGCCCTCCACAGCTTGGCTCCATCTTACATCTCAGATCTCCTTCACGTTAAAACTCCCACCCGCTCCCTAAGATCCTCCCTCTCCTTCCAGCTCTCCGTTCCCTCGGCCCGTCTGGTCACAATGGGGAACCGGGCATTTAGTCGCTCTGCTCCCCACCTCTGGAACTCCCTCCCTCTGGATCTCCGTACTCTGGACTCCTTCCCTCTTTTCAAATCCAGACTCAAAACTTTCCTGTTCAGACAGTCCTATCCCATCTAGTTCCTACGCATCACTTCAATATTGTTCTCTTCCTTTTCTTCCTCTGGTTTTATTTTACTTTCTGCTGTTTTGTTTTCTGTGGCATCTTATGCTTGTACTTTTTAGCTCCCTGTTTTTAATGTTTTTATCTGCCTGTACAGTGTCCTTGGGTGTTGTGATAAGGCGCTTTCAAATAAAATGTATTATTATTATTATTATTAATTAGTGAAAAAGAAGGGCCAGCCCCATACAGGTGTCATACAGTCTTCCCTGCCAAAGCAGGTTATCACTGAATGAGAAACTTGAACCAGATCCATCTCCTCACCACTTATTTTAAGAGTGAACTATTGTGATGAGCTTAATCAGCCTTGTTATTTGCTATCTCTCAGTCATATACAGCAAAATAAATATTGAACACGCCGTCATTTTGTTCTGTAAATATATTTCTAGACGTACTATGTACTTAAATTTTCACTAGATGTCAGTAACAATTGCTGCAATCCACACGTACAAAGAAATCAAACCATAGATGTCCAGAAATTAAGTTATATGTAATAATGTGGAATTAGAAAGCCCAGAGAGCTGCAGAAACCCGCTATCTCAGATTTTTCGTTCTCCATTGAAGAGTTGAACCAGAGACCAACCCACCGAGCAAAAACTGGTTGAAAAGACATTTTAAAGACATGATTTTCGTCCAAACGGCGTCAACATTTGGTCGAAAAGGGGAAAGTTAAAAAGCCATAATTTTCAGATCGTTAAAAAGGGGTTATTGCACTTAAGTGGGACGAAATCAGAACACTGGGAAGCGTTGGCCTAGTGGTTAGGACACTGCGCTTGGAATCCAGAGGTTTTGGGTTCAAGTCCCACTCCAACGACTGCCACTCTGAGTCCCTGAGCAAAGACCCTTTACCCCCACACTGCTCCCAAAGCGCAGCACAATGGCAGTCCACTGCTCCCCAAGGGGATGGGTTAAATGCAGATAGTGAATTTCATTGCTCTGTACTTATGACAGTGTAATCACAATAAAAGCTGTGGCGAAAAACAACCAAACACAGCCCAATATTCAATGACTATTTCTGCACTAAATGCACCAAAGACTATGATGAACCGACCAGAACTGACGTCTCATTGTCGTCTGGCGTTTTGTGGGGTAGCAAAAGCAAGATCTCAAATCGCCTTTTCCTTCTATAACTGTCTAAGAAGTGAAGACAGACTAAAAGCCACATACAAGCCCCTGAAAGCCCTGCAGAAATTACCCAGAACACATGAACTGTACCTAGAAAGCGGCCGACTTAGCCAGGCATGCAGGGCACCCTATCTGATTGGCATTTGGGGATCAGTCATATTCATTGAAACTATTCTCCAAACAAGAATAATCTTTATTCCCAAGAGGTATTTTACAAGCAGTAGGACTTTGCTTTAGTGATAAGGACAAGCCAGAGACATCAAAGATCAGTAAATCAGATAAGAGTCTTTATTGATCTCACCAGTAAATGTTGGATTTAATTTTGAAAACATTGGACACTGATGTACCTTTGTATTGAAAAAAACTGATTTCATTTTTTCTTTCCTTCTTAACTGCAGCCTCATCCTCTTCTTTATGCCTACTGGTTTTATACATCATCCTGGCGACAGTGGCGGCGGGCATCATACTCTGCTGGTGCTGCTGGTCACCTGGTTGGTTTGTGTGGCGTGTCAGCGTCTGTCGTTTCGTACCATGTTGTAAGTCAACCTGTTCTTCCTGTACAGTCTGTGCAGACACCAAGGAACACCGAGTAACAAAGGTCACCCCTCACTCACCGGTCAACCAAACCCCGATGAACCCAACGCTCAGCACTAATGACAATCAGTGTTAACTCTTTATATCCCTGAAGTTTTTATGGTTTCGCTTTCACAATGTGGGGACACTATAATCAGGGGTCATTGCACAGGATTTATCTGTGGAGGATGATCTGAGGGCAAATTTGTGATGCTGAAGGTTGTCTGGAGAAACGTGCTGCCCAGCAAGCAATAAGGACCAGAGCGGTTGGTGAATCTATTATTTACTTTATTTCTGTACTTTTCTTTATCCAAACATGATTCCCACTGTAGAACCGCTGAAGGGTTTTATGAAGACATTTCTGATGTTAAACAAATTCTTCTTTGTACCAGTAAACTTGTAATTGTAGATTCATTTAGTCTTTTTCACTCTTTCACAAATACAACACAACAATGGTGGATGACCTTTTCTTATATGGCACCTTTTCACGTCCTGAGACTCCAAAGTAAACTGCAATCGCATATACACACCCTGATGGCGGCAAGCTAGAATATGGCTGCAGCGAAAGCCAGAACTGTTGTTTGAACCAACAACCCTTTGGTTGCAGGGCAAACCTGCATCTCACGGCAATAAAAGTTGTAACAAACAACTTTTGTTTTTTATTCTTGAGTACAACTGCAAATCTGCTAATGTGCTAAAAAAACCTGCCTTACAAATTTCAAATGTTTTGGCTCTTGTTCTATCAGCCCAGACAAATGTGGAGAATTCAGGTCCAGAAGGTGAATCTCCTGCTCAGAGATCAGTTCCAACCACCGCAGCTGGTTGACTACATTGAAGGAAATCTAGGCACTTTTTTTTTCACTTTCTAGGCCTAGATCAGCCTCCATCCATTTTCTTTCACTTTATCGGGCCCGGGTTGCGGAGGCACCAGTCTAAGCAGAGATACCCAGACTTCCCAATCCACGCACATCTCCACCAGCTGCTCTGGGAGGACCCTGAAGTGACACCAGGTCAGCTCAGAGACATAGTCCCTCCAGTGTGTCCTGGGCCTTCCACAAGGCCTTTTCCCAATGGGACATTCCTGGAACACCACCAGAGGGAGGCGACCAGGAGGCATCCAGAACAGATGCTCGAGCCTCCTCAGCTGGCTCCTATCAACGTGCAGGAGCAACGACTCTACTCTGAGCTCTCCCAAGTAACTGAGCTCCTCACCCCTCACTCGAAGGGTGCGCCCAGCCACCCTGGCAAAGAAACTCATTTCGGCCACTTGTATTCGTGATCTTGTCCTTTTGGTCATTACCTAAATGTCATGATCATAGGTGAGGGTGGGAACGTAGATCGATTGGTAAATCAAGAACTTTGCCTCCAGACTCAACTCCCTCTTCACCACGACAGTCCAATACAGCGCCCCTCGTTAGCCCCTGTACACTACAAGACGCATGATGCAGGATCATGCTGTAAGTCTGCCTGATCGAAAAAATCCTTGCCTGACTGAAGAATCGGCCCAAAAAGGGCAAAAAATCATACAGTGTATGTCCGGCTTTACAGAAGAAAGGCACTTTCCAGTTCACCAGATCATCCAGTCAGATTGATTCAAAGTTTTCTATCTAAGGAAAACCAGCTGATTGCATCGACTCATTGACTCTTCAGCAATCCCTCACACTAAGCATGCTTGTAGCGACAGTGGAGAGGAAAAACTCCCTTTGAACAGGAAGAAACCTCCAGCAGAACCAGGCTCAGTGTGAGCGGCCATCTGCTGAGGCGGAGGTGGAGAATAAAATGAGTACTGCTTTGAGGTTGGATTATTGTATCTCCATGGATCAAATACACCATATACCTTACAAAAGGAGTTAATGCAGTGCGCTGATTTACTCAATGCACTGGGTGTTGGACTAGAACGGTCCAAAGTTGGATCTAAGACACAATTCAGAACTCCCCCCAGAATCAGATTATGAGTGTCTAAATTTGGTAATAATGAGAATAAGTCCTTAAAAAATTGAACATTATCCCAGTTGGAAGCATATATGTTTGCCAGAACTACTGGCATATTGTATAGTTTTCCAACCACAATAATGTATCGCCCATGTTTATCTTTTATAGTGGCGGTTTCTACAAATTGTATGTTCCTATGTATAAAAGAGCATGCTTGTAGCGACAGTGGAGAGGAAAAACTCCCTTTGAACAGGAAGAAACCTCCAGCAGAACCAGGCTCAGTGTGAGCGGCCATCTGCTGAGGCCCACTGGGGTTCAAGGAGACAGAAGCAGACATAGAAAAAGAAGCATAGATACAAAAGGCAACTGTCAACCAGCTCCACAGGCGGCCCCGTCCAGGAAACACACAGCCAGGCAGACGAGCTCCGAGCCAGCTCCCATGTCAGAGGATGAAGAGAGCACAACCAGTCAGAAATCTAGAGGTTTTTGTGCCGATTTTGGCACAAAATAATTCATTGGAAAAACTGAAAATGAACAGATGCTCATCTGGCAAATTCATAGGAAAACTTATAATTTAAAAATTTTTAGAGAGGGTGATGGGAATTTAGATGATAGTACAGAAGGCGAAGAAAGAAGCTTTTGAGAAACTACATCCAGATAGGGAAGCTGCATAAAACAATAAAACCTGTACATGAAAGCCAATATTAGGGAGGTACTATATTTGTCCAAGAAAATAAATGTTCTATGTTTGAATGTCCTAGCTCTTTCATCTAAACATTATTTTTTAAATAATACATCTACAGAACATTGAGTGGTACAATATAAAAGTATTAATTTTACCGAAAGAAAATCTGGTATATAGAAAATATTTTATTCATCTTGATGGGTCCAAAAATATGAATATTTACATTGGGTTGTGCTGCAGACTTGGACAAAAAAGTATTTGGCACCAAAGAAGAGTGGATTGAAGCAACGTGAGACGGAGCTCAAGCTTTACCAGAGTAGCTTTGAGACAGAGCTGATAAAGGGCTTCTTCTCTAACTTATATTTCTCAGATTAAAGCCAAAAAGCAAAAAAGAAGCCAAACAACGTTGAACATTGTTCAAGCTTGTTTCCTGTCACTTTGCTATACACAATGAAAACTATTTCCCACATTTGACTGGAACAGGTTATGAAAAGTTATTATAAAATAAAAATAAAAAAAACCACCTGCGCGTTCTATAAATCAAAGCTCTACTTATTATTCAGTGCTGCATCTCAAACCAGATCAGATAGAGAATGTTCATCTATTAAAACCATAATGAGATCCACATCTAGACAATAAACTATACACTCACTGGCCACTTTATTAGGTACACCTGTCCAACTGCTCGTTAACACTGAATTTCTAAGCAGCCAATCACATGGCGGCAAGTCAGTGCATTTAGGCATGTAGACATGGTCAAGACAATCTCCTGCAGTTCAAAGCGAGCATCAGTATGGGGAAGAAAGGTGATTTGAGTGACTTTGAACGTGGCATGATTGTTGGTGCCAGAAGGGCTGGTCTGAGTATTTCAGAAACTGCTGATCTACTGGGATTTTCACGCACAACCATCTCTAGGGTTTACAGAGAATGGTCCGAAAAAGAAAAAACATCCAGTGAGCAGCAGTTCTGTGGGCGGAAATGCCTTGTTGATGCCAGAGGTCAGAGGAGAATGGCCAGACTGGTTGGAGCTGATAGAAGGGCAACAGTGACTCAAATAACCACCCGTTACAACCAAGGTGGGCAGAAGAGCATCTCTGAACGCACAGTACGTGGAACTTTGAGGCAGATGGGCTACAGCAGCAGAAGACCACACCGGGTGCCCCTCCTTTCAGCTAAGAACAGGAAACTGAGGCTACAATTTGCACAAGCTCATGGAAATTGGACAATAGAAGATTGGAAAAACGTTGCCTGGTCTGATGAGTCTGGATTTCTGCTGCGACATTCGGATGGTAGGGTCAGAATTTGGCGTCTACTACATGAAAGCATGGATCCATCCTGCCTTGTATCAACGGTTCAGGCTGGTGGTGGTGGTGTCATGGTGTGGGGAATATTTTCTTGGCACTCTTTGGGCCCCTTGGTACCAATTGAGCATCGTTGCAACGCCACAGCCTACCTGAGTATTGTTGCTGACCATGTCCATCCCTTTATGACCACAATGTACCCAACTTCTGATGGCTACTTTCAGCAGGATAATGCGCCATGTCATAAAGCTGGAATCATCTCAGACTGGTTTCTTGAACATGACAATGAGTTCACTGTACTCAAATGGCCTCCACAGTCACCAGATCTCAATCCAATAGAGCATCTTTGGGATGTGGTGGAACGGGAGATTCGCATCATGGATGTGCAGCCGACAAATCTGCGGCAACTGTGTGACGCCATCATGTCAATATGTACCAAACTCCCTGAGGAATGCTTCCAGCACCTTGTTGAATCTATGCCACCAAGAATTGAGGCAGTTCTGAAGGCAAAAGGGGGTCCAACCCGTTACTAGCATGGGGTATCTAATAAAGTGGCCGGTGAGTGTAGTGACTGAGGCAGAGAGGTGATTCTCAGAGAGATCTGGGAAGTTTATCCAAGTTTTTCTTTTCATAAAGAGATGAGAGATACGCTGCGCTGACCTGCTCTGTCTGCTCCTCCTTATTCTGGTTTCTGTGAGGCTCAAAGAGGATCACTACTTTATCCGTTTTCTGTCCTCCTGAACTCCCATCATGTGGAAAGTTTTCTATTTTTTTATATTTCATTCATTGTTTTTGCACCAGTCTGTCCTGCTTACTATATATGCAATGTGTGACTCCAAACTGACTGTTTTTTTCTCTGTGCAATTAAAAGATTTGATTTTGTATTTTCCCCCAAAGCGGATGTGTTTTACTTTGTTACCACGTCTCTCTTCCTGTCAGACCCATGAAATTGCTTCTGAATTGTTGCGTAGTCTTCTTGCATGTGAGCTAAACGCAACAACCTCATGGATCGGACGCAAAGTTGGATTCAGAGTGATCTGCTTAAACAGAAGGTGACACTTGGACATCAGCAGATTACGCAGTTGTACATCAGAACCTCAACAGGTGTTAATGTTTTGCTCATGTAAGACACAGAAATAAGACAGATTAAACTACGAAAATAATATTCATATTCATCATGCGTCATAGTTTGGCATCTAAACTGAACATGTTTATCACAAACTAATGTGTTTCTGTGGATGCGATGTTATTTTCCTAAGACTGAAGATGGCGGGTTTATGCTAACCTTCCCGCTCATGTTAAATGAATAACAGTACAGCTGTTTGTACATTTCTTAACTGGTAATGCAGGGTATGCTTTCACCTGGGAAGCTTTAATGTAAAGCCTTTTTCTCCACAGAATAGGTTACAATGGAGAGTAAAATGTTGGCAAAATGTTGTTGCTAAATTGTTATATGTTTGTGATTCAGATCTGTGTCCTAAGATGACTTTTATGTAAATCTAAAATATAAGAATAAAGGAAACTGAAACAAATATTTAATTTGAATACATTAAATCACCTCTTGATTCTGAACATGCTCTTTATTGCTGTTTTAGGCAGCCATGTTGTTTCTGATCTATGAAATGAAAGGTTTACTGAAACTAACCCAAACTAACCTAAAGCTTCAGATATACTCAGTCTGGTGAACATGGTGTAAACAGTTGATTCTCATCTCATCAGTGTCCAGTGATTGTAAATTCACAGTAAATGTATTAATTTGTGGCTGCGCACATGCACGGTTTGTAGCACTGTTCCCTTGTAGCAAA